AAGTTTTAACGTGTTTTAATTAAGGCATGCTTGAGGACAAGCATTGAATAAGTGAGTGAGAATTTGATGAGTGTTTTAATTTGCACATATTTTGTTGATAATTATTCCTTGTTGTTTATTTTATGCTATTGATTTAGAATGTTTTGATTCATTTTTGTGTATGATCTTATTCTCTATAAACAACATTAAAAGGGACAAGCTCTATACTTTTTTTATTTATGATCCAGGGCATTACGCGATCCGACGTGGCAGTTTCTAGAAGGTCCAGCCAGCACTCTCTGGAAGGTGGACGAACATAATTATCTTAGAAGTAGTTGTTTTAGGAAATTAAGTTTGATTAGAAAACATTTTAGAATTTTCTTACATGCTTATGGTAATGTTGAGTTAGGTTCCGGCTAAGAGGGTTTTCTTTTACTTAAAAGCTTTGAAAATGAGTGTATCCTTGTGAGGGTGTTGAGTCTTTTTACGTTGAGATTGATAGATTAATGGGATGTCATGGTTTTGCTTAAATTATTTCTATTTATAGCTTTCACTTGATTGTTATTTTTGACTCCGATAATTGTTGTTATCTTGACTTACTTGGTTTTTCTTGGATATGAGGTGAGATGAAGAAAAATAAATAGAAGTTTTAAAATGTTTTGATTAAGGCATGCTTGAGGAAAAACATTAAAAAGTGAGGGGAAATTTGATGAGTGTTTTAATTTGCACATATTTTGTTGATAATTATTCCTCATTGTTTTTTTATGCTACTGATTTTATTTTGTTGATTCATTAAAAGGGATGAGTTCTACAATTTTTTTTATTTTCTAAAATCATGGATGGAATCATGAGCATGAACTGAGGCATGACGTGGTTCGATGTGGCAATTTATAGAAAGTTCAGTCTGCAATAGTAGCAGTTTCAAGAAGGTCCAGTCAGCACTCTCTGGAAGGTGGACGGCCAGAGTTATCTTAGAAAGAGTTGTTTTAGGAAATTAAGTTTGAATTAGACAACAATTCTAGGATATCTTTTGATTATATTTAAGATATTTTTATTTTGAATTTTCATGTTACTTGTAGTGAATTTCAAGGCTATAAATACTCATTTAGGTCAAGCTTGAACATGTACTTATTTCTTTCGATTTTTATAAAATTCTCTCAGGTTTTTTAAAGTTTTTTTCCTTTCTTTTCATTTTGATTTTTTTACTTTCTTTTCAAAAAAATGCTAAGCATGATTCGAATCATGCTTAGGTAAAATTTTAATTAACTAAAGTCTTAGAGATGACTCAATTCTGTTTATGGGAATTGAAAAGCTCTTAACATATTTGGATTATATTCTTGATTTTTTGAAATCTTGATTTGACAATCGGCCTTATCTTTAAAAATCTTTACATATTTTATTTCAAAAAGTGCACGTTTGATTGAATGATGTTTTGATTTACATTTTGGGAGGAAGAATATGTTTTTCGTAATTCAACTTTCTATGAACAAACTTAGTGTAACAACTCGAGAAAAAATTGGTTATTAATACGTGAAATTGGTTTCTGCAGAAACCAATTTCACAAATTTGCTTCATTCAACGCCCAACTTCCAAACACAATCTCGACGTCATCCGACTTCCGATTTTCGTTTTGAAACCACCATCGTGTTCGTCATCGAGCGATGAACAAAACCCTTAAATTAATTGAAGTGAAACGCTGCCAAACGCTGTGAATTTCAAGTCAAAGTCTCGACATTTTTTAGCACCATCGCCGAGAAAATCTTAAATTCATCGCTGATCATTGCTTCGTTTTCGACACCTCCCGCACCATTGTGTTCCTTGTGCCATTTCGAGTCCACCCGTGTCCTCCTTGTCTCCGGCGGCAGCGGCGCGTGAGGAGGTGAAGCGGTCAAAGTTTAGAATTTGTTAAAATCGAGCTCTCCACCGTTCAAAATTATGAACCGAGCTTTGTAAGTGCCTCAAAATAATTTTTGCAAATTGTTCTGTAATTTGTACGACGCCGGAGAAGCGGTGGCACGTGGGGAAGTCTCTGCCAGCTTGAAAACCAGATTGACCGATTTTTCACCAGTTTGACTGGTCTGAACCAGTCCGACCCGACCCGTTGACCGTTGACTCGGGTGTTAGTTTAGTAAATATTTTTAAAAGGGTGTTAGTTTCGTAATATTTTTAAAAGGGTGTTAGTTTCGTAAATGTTTTTAAAAGGGTGTTAATTTCGTAAATATTTCTTAAAAGGGTGATAATTGTGTAAAATGATTGATCGTCTGTTGGCCTCCTTTTACCAGAACTTTGACCGGCATTGACCGACCATTAAACGACCTTTGACCTTTTCTGAATATACCTATCCTAACATTTTCAACGTTTCGAATATGTTTTTGGGGTCCGTTTCACCAAATTCAAACCCAAAGGTTTCCAAATCGTCAGTCAAACCCGTTGACTTTGACTTTAACCAAGAATTCAAATTTCTAGAAGGTCATATTTTATGTTTTTCGACGTCCTGAATCTGATTCTGAAGTCCGTTTTACCAAATTCTGACCCAAAATACTCGAATCGAGGTTGTGAACCCAAAAGTGCTTAGTATTTTAGCATTTTGATTAATCATTTGAGATATGGTTATGGAATTGATTCAGTAAAATATTTTATGAAGTTACTCGTGTTTCACCTGAGAGGGGATCAGTTAGGTCCGATTTTGTTCGTTTGTCAAATCAACCCAAAATACGTACTACGAGAACTACCCGTAGGTTTCTGTAAATTATTTAAATAAAGATTAAGATTATTTATATTAGGATTCCAATATGGATTTTCCAATTCGTAGGATCTAGCACTGCAGCAGAGCGTAATCGACAGACCCAATAGTAGGCTTCCCTATCCGATTTCTCATATTATTACAGGTGTGTTTCCTAACGGTGATACCTTACTGTTTTGAATTATCTATCTGAATTGTTTTAAAATTATGAGGATACTAAATATTTTTATGAAATAATATATGATGTCCGGAATAATGTTTATTTGATATCTGATTTACTGTATATTTCTGATATGATTTTTGGTTAAGGTGTTTTGTACCTGATTTCTGAATATGGGTTCATTATCATTTCACTCCAATACGTACATGTTTATTATTGTCACTGGGGTATTATTGAAAGAAGTATTTCAGGCTCCTTTGCTGTGAGCTCAGGGTAAGACCTTACTGGTGTGCAGGTGGGTGTATGGTTCTGGGGAACCTACACATTTTAGTGATCAGAGTGATTGGATGGATCAGTTATTACCGCAGGCTCCTCGGCTTTGTGCTCAGGGTAAGTCCTTACTGGTGTGCAGGTGGGTGTATGGTTCTGGAGAACATACAAATTCTAGTGATCGGAGTGATTGGATGGAAATAGTGTTCATGTTTTTAGAACATGTTTAATAAACTGATTTTTACTGATATATTTTATATGTGTTTATTTTTACACTGTATGAAGCACACTGTGCTTTTTAACTCATTTTGTAAATTTTACCCTTTTCAGATAGCAGCAGACCGTAAACTAGCAGATTTGGCATCAGGGGAGATCAACTACTTTTACTTGTATGAACGTATATCTCTATATGTTTTCCAGTTGTATTTGGTGACATGTATTTTGTTATCGTTTTGGATATATTTGTATTATCGATATTTTGCTCCATATTACCTTTAAGGTTATATAAGTTGTTTTAAATATAAAAAGAATCTATGAATAGGTTATGTGACAGCTTAAGTTTGGGTCTAGCGTTTAGGTCCGCTAAAGTGAATCGAGATCTGATTCAATTCTCGTTGAGACACCATAAACCAAGCACGATCTTTTCTTGCACTTAAAACTACATTGTTACTAACGACGATAGTCGTGGTTAGTTCAAGTATGAACTGAATTTTGAAGATATACTTGAGAATATTAGTTTATCAAAGAGAACAGTAAATTACAAAGGTTGGGCCTTCTAGACTGTAACCGACATGTATGCGAAGTAAAATCTCTTTCGATAGTCAATTGGAATTGAGGCGAAGCGAAGCTTAATTATGTTTGTAGACACCCGTTTTTGTCCGGGTCTAAAAAAGTATTTTATCGTATAATTATGTTTTATTTTTCTTATTATTATTATTGTTAATAATATTTTTATTTTTTAATTTTACAGGCACCATGTACAACCCCACTACCCCACCATTGTCTCAACCAAAAAACAACCCACTAACCCACCATTATCTCATAACCAACCCCACCTCACACGTCTCAACTAAATCCACATATGTTTCCTTCTTTTTCTCTCAAAAAGGAAAGTGGGAAGCTGGAGGCAGAGTTATTTATTTCAACAGGAGATTGGGAAAAAGAAGAGGCTGGAAGGGCTAAAAGAGTAAAAGGGAATGCCGCGTGGCTGAGGATAATCGGCTACCTTTCTGTCAAGCTCAAGTTTTGGCACCCGTCTTATTGTTTGGTCGAGACTTTGGAGCGGGTGGTATTGAATCTCATGACTTCAAAGCGGATTAACAAGGGAAATGACGCTGCCTTGCTTTGAACTTTTCTTTCACGCAATTTCCGTTTCCAATCCTTACTTTGACTTCCAACTCTTTGCATTACAGCACTTCAGTTTCCCTTCCCAAATGGATTTCTTATTCGTTTCTGCAGATCAACTCCAACGAAGTTCAACTAAGAGATGATCAATGATGGTCGAGGTCTATGGAAGCGACGAAGTGATGAGCGAAGGCAAAGAACCAGCACCGTGCCAACCACCTTCTCGTCTAGGAGACGTAGAACCACATTTAGACGGTTTAAATTCGTTGGTTTCATTCCATCCGAGGCCGAGAATAGTCGGAAACGCTGCAATCTCCAAGCAAACGCAGCCGCGTGTGTTTTAGACCGTGAAAACGTTGGAGATAATAATTCTTCCATCTCCGAGGAGGACATGAAAAATACATACGAAATACGGGGGGCAGTTTTCAGCAAAAAGGAGGGGAACATCAGGGGAACTTTGATTCAATCTTTTTCATTCTCACCTGCGCCTCGTGCCTTGGAAAACCCAGCTTTCCCTCAAGGCTTACCTGCTCCTGGGAAAAAGGGGAGGCTCAATGATTCTTCTCCTCCATGACCTCCCCGAGCTTTGGTATTCATGGCGTCACCAAATCGTGTCTTTATCTTCCATGGGTTACCGAGCCCTTGCCCCGGACTTAAGAGGCTTTGGTGACTCGGATACCCCCGACACAGTGGCGAGTTACACTTGTTTCAACATAGTCGGCGATGTGGTTGAGCTGATAAACTTGGTGGCTCCCGATGAACGCAAGGTGTTTGTGGTGGGGCATGACTGGGGAGCTTACATGGCTTGGTACTTGCGGATGTTTAGGCCTGGTAAAGTGAAAGTTGTGGTGAATTTGAGTGTGTCGTTTATTCGGCTTGGTCGGGAAATCAACCCCATTGATGCCTGGAGAGCTATCTACGGCAACGATCATTATGTCTCGAGGTTTCAGGAAGTTGGAGAAATGGTGAAACGCTTTGAACTGATTTTCCTTTATTTTTTGCTTACGTTTGATATGATACATTGCGAATGTGTTGTTTTCGTAAATGTTTATGCTTGATTTATTAGATCTATTGGTATTTACTGCCCATTTGCAGTTGAAATTCCCAGATCCAATGTTTTTCTTTTACTTTTTATATTTCTAGCAAGCTTAAGCATAACGAGGCAATATTTATGTTTATTTATTTGCAACGTTGAATTGTATCTGCTGAAATATTTTACCCTATACTGAAATACGTACATACTTGCATCCATACCTATATACGTGAAAGGTTTTGTTATGTTTATATATGCAGTGCGTTTTAGTTAATTGTTTAGTATGTTATATTGTTTTTATTAGACGATGTCTGTTTAAAATTCATTTGATGTTTATTTTCCTGTATCTATGTGTAAACACTCAATTTCGTCCCAGTTTCTTTTTTATATTTGATATTTCTTTATTATTTTTATTTTTCAATTTAACATTCTTTTTGCATTTTTCAGTAATAATTTCAATCGATCAAAGGTAATTAGTTTAAATTGAATTTTTAAATATCGATTTAAATTTTAATTTTCGCAATTAAGACAACTGGAAATTACGTAGTACCGAAAGGGCGGTTCAAGGGTGCTAATCCTTCCTTAACCGTAACCGACTCCCGAGCCCGACATATTTTTGGTAAGACGCAGATCAGGTAAGAAATAGGGTATCCGATCAACCCATTTATTTTTAAATAAATGATCGGTGGCGACTCCAATCCATATTTTTTAAGTCGAAGCCCAATTCCGAGGCCCAACCCGAAAGACGGTTCCGACAATGTTTTTACTCATTTTATTTCTTTAAAGATTTACTTCATTTCATTTTTCTTTCTTCAATTCTTGAATTCTTTATTTTCGATGTAAAACTCTTTTTTTTATTTTCTTTATTTTTTGTTTCAAGATCAAAGCAATTAAACATTAGAAGTTCCTTAGTCTTTGTGGATCGACTCTTATTCTCTTTACTACGCTTTTATTTCATTTATTTATTTGAGCATAAAGCTAAATTTATTTGACAATTACGACGGTTGTCACTAGTCATTGATGATTTCTTTAAAATCATTATTAAACAAAGGTAAAATCCAATTGATGGTAGCTTTGTGGATGACCAGAAGCATAACAGCCAACATTTCAGGATGGGGAGCTCTCTTCCATGGTCGTGCAGGAAATGGAACTGTCAGTGTGAGTAATAACTTTAGAAATCAAATTTGATCCAATAATCTTTCTTCTGGTTCCAGACCTACGGAATTTGGAAGTCGATTATATTCAAATTCGAGTTAGATTAACCCCTAAACAAGGGTAAAGTTCTTCCAATGAAATTCAATGTTTTACTTAAAGAATCTTAAAATTAATTTTTTTATAATAGTAATTTTGGTCCTTATAGGTTTAATTATTAGATAAATTAGGTACTTGAGTATCACTGAGAATAATTTTTTTAAACCATGCATGCAGGTAATGGTGGCTACCCTTTAATTCATAATTCCAAACGGGAAACAAAAAGGAGAGAAACTGATGGATTGGAACGAATGCAAGAAACTACCACGGAACATAATATTGTTACTAGGTGTCGGTTTTGCTCTAGCCGACGGCGTGCAATCTAGCGAACTCGCTGACGTGTTATCCAAAAATCTGTATTTCTTGAACACGTCCCATATCTCATTTTCACACCCATCATTGTCTGATATGCGCTGTGATTATCGAGTTCATAACGTTGAATGATACGACGTCGACCCTTATGGTTCCGTTATTGGGTCAAATGGTAAGGACCATGAACGTGCACCTTCTGATGCTTATGGTTCCAGGTGCTATTGGGTCACAATTGGCCTTTATGCATCCGTCTGGGACGCCACCAAATATAGTTGGATTCAACACAGGGCATATTGATATCTTTGACATGATGAAGACCGGATTGTTCCTTAAGATTTCAGGGACTACAATTTTATCTTTGCTAATGCCTACTCTAGGTAAACTATTGTTGGAAAATTAATACATAATTGAATAAAATTAATGCAATTTAATAATAAGTTATGTCACTTGGTGAATTGACTTATTATTTAGTTTAAAGTTGTATCCATTTAATTATATCTATTAACTTTTTGATTGATTTCATCTCCTCTATATATAAGATAGTTAAGGCACAAATCTTAGAGACATATGACACAAGTTACAACACACAAGTTTAGAACTTTGGAATAGAAAAGCACTTAATAAATTCTTTCTTTCCGGTTATAGAAAAAGACAAGATTGTGTTCGACTGGTCACTATGGTTGTGCTTACTATTGTAATCGGTTGTTGCTATATTAGTAAAACCATAGACCAAGCATATACATTACGACTAGGTCTAACATATTACATTAAAAATTCTTAAAATATTTTCCAAAATATTATTTGGTAATTTTAAAATATTACAATGAAAATCTATAAAAATAAAATAGATAATGATAAAACCAAACTTGTAATTATAAAACTATAAATGACTAAGTAAAATAAAACATGTCATAATTGCATATCGAGGTAATTCGAATACCAATATCAAAAGTAGTAAAAGTCATAAAATAAGTATTTTCAAAATAAAGACACATGTCACCCCTAGACCTACAGGTCTCAAGATCGAAACTTGGCTCTAATACCAATTAAATATAACCCCCTAAACCCAACATATGTGTTACGACTAGGTCTGACGGATTACATTAATTTTTTTAAAATATTTTCCAAAACGTTATTCGGTAATTTATAAAATTACAATTAAAATCTATAAAAATAAAATAGATAACGATAAAAACCAAACTTGTAATTATAAAACTATAAATGACTAAGTAAAATAAAACATGTCATAATTGCATATCAAAGTAATTCGAATAACAATAGCAAAAGTAGTAAATGTCATAAAATAAGTACCTCAAAATAAAGGCACATGCAATCGTAATTGAAAGCAGTTCGGAATATAAAAACATTACAACAAAAAGTTCTGCAAGAATGTTTCGATCCTCCAAGTGCCTGACTCGGGATACCTATCTAAAAGTATCTAAAAGGGGTAAAACATTTTGAAAAATGAGCTAGGGCTCAGTGTCTCCCAAAAGTGCAAATAAATCATAATGGTGAAATTATCAAGTAATAGTTCAGTAAAATATCATAAAAATCATAATGAAGTTTAAGTTTTAAAACTCATAGTTTACCTACCTCTCGTACATCATATGCAGTTCCCCAGAACTGTATCTATAGGGCTTACCTTATACCTATTGGGTATAAAGAGCCAACCTAAGGGAGCATCTTGGGGCCTGAGAGCCTACCCAAGAAAGTTCTCGGGGCCTAAAAGTCTACTCAAGGGTCGCCATAGGTTTGTAAGGATTTACCAGCTTGATCATAGTTCAATCTCCATACTACAGTATCCTACCCAAATCAGCATCCCAATAAAACATTTCACATAATAAGCAGTAAATTCCGTGATCCAAAATCGGCATAATCATATTTCTAGTGAAAACAAATAATCAGATAACATATATCATTCAGTTATAGTCCATAACCCATCAACCAATAAATCAGTAAATCATAATTTCGGTGAAACATATTTCAAAGAAGGTAAAACATTCATGTAGCACATAGGGAACTGTTGGGATTTTGCGGAAGCTCGAATCGACAACCAGAACGGTTTGCAAAGAGGGGTCGGAACAGTTTTTGTGTTTAATGAGTAAGGAGATTGAAAGATAGAGAATTGTACAGCTATTTTTAGTGGTTCGACTTCTCAACCAAGTCTACATCCACTACCTTATCTCCTCACCAAGGATTTTCCAAAAAATTCACTAATTGGTTCTTTCTTTTTAAGGACAAAGAGATAACCTTTACAACTCCCTAGTTTTTCACGGGATAAACTAGAACATTTCCCTAGCTTTTACACGGGCTAAGCTAGAACATTTCCCCTTTACAAAATGATAAAAGAAGTAAACAAATAAACCTCTCAAATGTAGGTGTTTACAAGAATTAAGCTCACAAGAACAAATATTTACAAGAGAAAAATGAAATAAGAATGAAAAACTTCTTCTCTTGTGTTTGATTGCTTGGATAGTTGTTCTCTTACTTCTTCAAGTGTCATCAGCTTGTATTTATAACTTGGAATGAGTTTGAAGTTGTATGCAGCCGTTGGGGATTATTTTTCTACAAAAATAGGCTGCCCAAAACATAGTGTATCGGTACACTATCAAGGTGTATCGATACCCCTTCATTAAATTCAAATTTTATGACCGTTGGGTTGTGTGAACATTAAGTGTATCGGTACACTGTAGCAATCCATTGTTACACCTTTTACATTCAATGTTTTTGAGCACCGGTACTGTTCATTACTGTTCACACAATATTTGTATTGTTCACACAATATCGGTACTGTTCATTACTGTTCATCAAAACAGTTTTGTGCTCAATTTCAAATTAAATGGACTTTGAATTATTTTTGAAACCTTTTTAAAACTTTGAATAAATTCAATTCAAGTCCAAAAACATTTTGCCTTTAAATTTGTTATATCGAAACATAATTCAACAATCTCCCCCTTTTTGATATAACAAAACATTTGAAAAATTGTTTTTGGCAAAACTCCCCCTTAATAAAATGTTTAATGAAAAAGATACCAATTGCTAACAAAATGATATCAATTGTTAAAAAGATACTAATTGTTGGAAAATATATGAAAATGTTAAGCTCATCCTTTTTCATTAAGAAATTGAATTTTTCAAACCAAACTTCTCTCCCTTTTTGTTATATAAAAAATAATTCAATCTTTGAAGTTTAAAATAACTTTGGAGAGTAAATGATAAATTTGACATTTAAAAAATCATTTGAAATATCAAAGCTCCCCCTCAATAAATGCATTCCAAACAAAATTAAGCTTTTAAAAACTTGACACTTAAACAAAATTGAATTTCAACAAAGAATAACAAACATGTTAGTAGTACATGAAATTCAATATATCCAAGTCTAAAATACTTTATGCAATATCAATTGTTGAAATTAAGTGCATATGCATAAAAATTTTCTAAAAGTGTTATGCATTTGAAAAA